GACAGTTTTTGCCAGCGTGTTTTGTAATAATTTGCTGACAGAGAGGCAATGTACAGACTCAGGATACCTAGTTGAATTCCAGGTTATGTGTAACCTAGTTGTTATAGACCCTTCTTTGTGTTGCCACAAGTTGAGCTGCTCCAGCAAATTTGTGCAAAGGTAGTATAGGACGATCAGCTTTTGAGGAATTTAGCCTTCTTTATCAATGTAGAGTGTTAGGATTACCAGCTCAAAAGGAACATGGCAGAGCCAGACATCCTATAGCCCTGGCACCTACTGGAGAAAGAAGTGTTAGGCTGAATGTTGGGTGAAAACCCTTTTGAAGCTGTTGGGTATAAAAACCTCCCTCCATTCAAGATAAATAAATAAAGTATTCATGTTTTTTTATGGAATAGATAAAAACAGTAGGAGACAGCAGACAAAACAAAGTCCACATACAAGCCTGGGTATTGTATGCTACCACCAGAGCAATCCCTAGGGCTGTGCATGGCCCAAGGCATATCAGCCCATGCAGGGCCAGGGGATGGTGAGCGGCCAGAGCACAGAGTAGGGGCAGGGAGGGTGTGGCAAATGGCTGGAGCACCGAGCTGGCAGCTGCCATATTGAATGTAATAGTTTGAATGCTTGTAATAGTTGCCCATTAGCCAGTTTAGAAAAAGGCAAGGTTCATCTTCTTATCTAGGTTCATTGTTTTACCTGGCCTTACAACTGACCACCTAGCAAAAAGCTGTTGAGTAAGATCCAAGCTCATATTTGGGAGTAGTGACAGGTTTGGGTAGGAGGGGCCCAAGATGGCAACTCGCCCAATAAAAACTGTAACCTACTGTCCCAATTTGGAGGTAACCTCACTTGCAGAACAACGAAGGAAGAATTGCAAGTGTAGGCCGGATCAGACTGATCACCTGAACCACCCTTTCCGTGAACACGAATCTCTTAGTTCACGCTAAAGTCACAGAGCACCCAAGTGGGACTGAAGGAAGGGGACTTGTTCCTATCACACCTGAGGCCAACCCATTGAACTGTACTACTGAGGCCAACCCATTGAACCTGTCATGGAAACACACGCAGCATACTTTTGGGTCAGGTCAGCAGAAGCTTTTATTCAAAAGAAACTACAGTGTAGGGGGGACTCCAAACTGACATGGATTTCCCAAGCACTTGGAAGGGGTCCCCCACAAGAGCAAAATCAGGAGGCTTATATACTTTTTAACAGTCGCTTACAACTCACGTGATCATATAGTGAAATTAGCATGAAAAGCGGCTATAACATTACTTCATTACTTCTTTGCTGTAATCAGGATGGGAACTTATGGGGGAGGCGAGGTTAGTTCACAAACCTCCTTCTTGCACCTGGAAATCAGAGTTGTACATACTTTTTGCTATCTTCAAGGCTGCGGTGAGTGAAGCAGTTGCAGAGGAGTTACAAAGAACAAACACTTTCCCTTATCTGTTCTACTGTACAGAGCCAGCAGTTCTCCACAAAGCGGTTATGTCATCTTATAACTCAAATGATCAAAGTTTAAGGCATTTATTTTTTCTGATTCCACAAACTGTACTACTGAGGCCAGCCCATTAAATTGTACTACTGAGGAATGAAACCATATTTAGGAGTTTGGCTTCTTGGAATTCTAGGATTGTAAGTATAATATAGTAATAACTTTTCTGGTTCAAATTATATAGTTAGTTGTTGTTGTAATTGTTTTAAAGAAGTACATTTAGAGTATTGTTCCTTATATATATATAGTTATTGTGTTGTTGATGTTTATGGTATTTCTTAAAATAAAATTGTGTTGTATAAATTAAGTGTGAAATCATTGTGAAATCGTGCAATTAGCTGAAAATTTCCCCAGCCAGTGCATCAAATGAATCAGTAAGTTGTGTGGGATCTTCTCTATTCCATAACCCACTAGAGACAGCAGCATGCGGGGTGGGGCGATGGGGCCTGTACGGCACTGTCTGCAGGGCCCCCAAAGTGCAGGGTCCGAGGCAGTCGACCTGATCCCCCCCACCCCCACCCAGGGACAGTCCTGGCTACCACACAAAGGGCAGCAAGGTAGCCTGGCAATTAACCAGATAGCATTTATAGCCTGACTGAAAAAAAC